GGCAAGCACCACCTGCTTATGCGCGAGGACACATTCTGGTACATTACGGGGGTCTCGCTCAAGACAAGCCGCAATGAGCTCGACAGCGGTCTCGGACAGTGCCGTATTCTTCGAAGTGATAGCGGCAGCAACCCCAGCAAAGACCGGCGACTCTAGAGTGAGCAGGCATCGGGTGACGTAGACGAATGCCTCGGTTTCTTGGGAGGGCGCTAGGATCATCCGCAAGAGCCATCTCATAGACAGGAGTTGCACCTCATCAGAGGACTTGCCTCGAGTAGATAGAAGCCGATTGACCTGAGTGGAGATCTAACATACCACACCCACACGGGAGGTCCTCACCACATGGTCCGAGACTTTCACCCACGCCTCCGCTTGCTGCCCAGGAGACCATCGTTGAGACTCCGGTAGGCGTTGGAAGAGTGACGTGATGAGCCTGACGAGAGCCGCTGAAACCTCTGATGGCGACTCCTGAGGAAGGTATGATGATGAGCAGCACTGCGGTGAGGAGCGAGCCTACCCCATTGTCCGGTGAAGGCAAGGAGTTGAGCAAAGTCGTCCGCTGTATGATAGCTTGGAGTACCGCTCTAGCATGGGCGGCAGTGTCCACTCCTCTAGGTCTAGCATAGGCCAACCCGGTGAGGCAAGCGATCGTTACCCTTGAAAAAACATTCAGAGGGGAGCCCACGACGACGGTCGACGTTCCTACTCATTACGAGCCAGTACAGAATAAGGAGGTGCACCAGTCAAGACTTCAACCAGAGTGGCTCCACCTTGCCACGATGTGACAGCGCCCTAGCACGACCGAACGCTGGGCGGCGCAGGGTTTGGCAATACAGCAGACCTACCTCGCCGACATCAGCACAGGCCGATAGTATACGCATGAGGGCGGGCGCCACCAAGAGCACCCCCTCTGACGCCTCGTCCTCAGCCGATGTCTGCAAGGTCCCCGAAATGGCACTCTGACGGACCTGTGGGGGATGGTGACACGCGAGCCGGAATGAGACGAGAGAGTCACCGCTTTGAGGATCTTCCGCAGATGGTCGTGCATATTGGCTACGTTGAACCAAGGGTTGTGATGATGCTCCAACTTCTGTACGAACTGACAACAGCAATACTAACACATTGCGCGCCCATACCCGCCGCTTCACCTGCTTAACCGCAGCCTCGCCTTGGGGTAATCGAGTGACCATACACGTACACATGTCGAGCACGGCGGCATACTCCAGTGAGAGGAAGAGCGTAACAACATTAGGGGCCGCATTAGGGCCGTATCCAGGAGGATAGTCGTAGGGGCTCGCGGCACCTACGGCAAGGGTTGCCGGTACGCGAATGGGAGCAGTGGACAGCACCTCGCCCGGAAGGAGGTATAGCGGCAGTTGCTGCTGCTGCCTCTGTGATGGTCGCTGTTGGATGGAAGTTCTCAGTCTTATTCAACACCACATCCTTATACCGCATACACATACTCTGGCTCAACGCTCTGTCCGACACCTAACACCGAATAAGGAGCGTCCAACACGACGAAGATCTCCACTCCGTGATGCATACCAGGCAGAGTCTAGTGATGATCTTGATGACCATGATCTGCAGGTAGTTCCTGGTCGGCCGATTAGGGAAATTCGCAGCCTGGGGAGGCGGCAATAGGTTATACTTAGTCCTGAGAATGGCTGCATTAGCGACCCTCCCCCCAGTGGCAACAGCAGCCTTACGCATGTGTTTCCAGTCTCTTGAGACTAGTCCACCGATGCAAGGGCAACACCAAAGCTGACACCACGCTATCTAGTATGCAGGAGAGGACGAGCCCAGGGC